CGGATAGTCGGCGCATCTGTTTACCGCCACTTTTATGGACGTACCAGAACGAGAGGTCGCGAGGTCAATTGCGTGACGCCGCGCGGATTTCCCGGCAAGTGACGCCTTTATTTCCTGAGCAACAAGGTGGCGTCATTTCCCGATAAGATGCCGCTCGGGGCCAAAGTCTCTTCTCTTTACGAGCCCCCGCTTTGCGCGTTTCTGCAGGGCTTGCGTCAGGGCGGCGGCGACGATGACTTCCCGGTCCTCGGCCACGGGCGGTGACTCGGCTGCTACGAACAAAGCGAGAAGCCGCTCGTCGTCGTCAAGCGACCGGCTGACTTTCGAGCCCGCCAACCAACTCGCCGAGAACCGAGGGACGGATCGGCCGTCCTAGCGACCGAGCGGCCGCGGGACCCGCAGACAAAGCCGGCAAGAAAACGTCGCGCCAACTCACCCGCTTCACCGACCGAGGGGCCGGGTGACCGAGCGACCGCGTCCGTGCGTCGGCGTCCGATCAAAGACGGAAAACTCACGTCAACTTCACGCTCTCGCTCTTGTCGTCTCGTCTCGCCGAGCGAGCGTCCTCCTGACGTCGTTGAGCCAAAGTCAACGTATTTACGGTCACCAAAGGCCACACCCCACCCTGCGCGCGTGCGCCGTCGCTCTGCTCCAAGGTGGAACGGAGGTCGAAGGTGAGGCGCCAGCTGACGTCGACGTGCTCCAACCGCACCCGCTTGAGGTGAGCGGATAAATTGCGCTCCGTGTCCGGCTCGTCGACGCGAGGAAAACAATTCCCTTGTGATGAAACCGCGGATGCCGTGGAATTGCCTTGAATGAAATCAATGGCGAAATCATTCATTCGTTGGAGATGACAGGAAAGCGCCACTTCCGTCACTCACTTTGACAAGTTGACACCAAAGCGACGTTCTTGGTCGGGCATCAGCAGGGTAAACAGCCAACGGTTGACTTTTTCAGCAGACGGGCAAATCAAAACGTGAGAAAGTGTGGAAAACGTTGGGATTCCACGAGACGGTCATCATCCCTTTCAGTCCTTTTATGGACGGCGGACTGAATGAAACAAGTCAACGCATTTTGAATGCGTGCGCGAAGTTGTTTGGACACCGAGTTTATGATTGTTCCGTTTGTGACCAACAGGTGGCGTTGGAGGGCTTCTCTGACAGCGTCGCACCTGTTGGGCATCATGTCGTTACCCCCCCCCCCCTTTTAAAAGGACTGACTCCCAATGACCGCGGGGTCGGATCGTTACGTGTTCCCGTCGCGGTGGTGTGGTTCTGTTGAAGTCACGGCTTGGTACTTGTAGTGGTGTTTTAGTTGCTGACGTTTGGATTTTTATCTTTCCGAGACTTTCTTCGTGCTTTCCGTCGCTTTGTTAATATGTTTTGTTCAGTCCTGCCCGCCTGCTTTTTACTGTCGTGATTGTTTCGTTTGTGTTGGTCACAACCGGGACAATCACGACACGCTGGGGCGAGAGCCCCGTCGTCGTCGCCCCAGTCAAGCCGTCCGACATTTGATTTGCTCTCCTAAAATGGCTGAAGAAACGATGAGGAGCGAATGGGTCCTTGACGCAAGAGCCGCCACTTGTAGCGCCCGCAGCTGCCTGCGGGCGGCGCCCCAGCACCGCCGGGCGGCCGTGACTCTGCCGTGGGCGGTGAGCGCGCGCTTGCGTCATTGAGCGGTTTGTTCGCGGGGGGCGGGGAAGGGGGCGCGGTCTTCTAAGCTCCCCCCACCCCACGCCGTCAGTCCTCCCGCGCGGGCCGAGCCGCGGCACAGAAGGAGCGCTCCCCCGGCCGGGCTCGCGTGGACGTCGACGGGCTGACGCGGTGCGCGCGCGCAGGTAACTCGGCCCACGTGACCGCACCATACCGGGCCGGCGACGCTCGCGTCGACGTGTGGCTTCGCCGCAACCTGATCTCACCGGAGTTAGTTTCAATGGGCTCCGTTTTCCCGACTCGATGAGTAGCCGCGTCTTTCAAAGGCTCGCGAACGGACACGTTGCTCAAAGAACTCCGTGAGGAGCCGAGACTGATCTGCGGAAAGGAAAGAAAAGTGGAAAACCGCTGCGTAGTTCCGAGAAGAGGGGATTCCGTTTATGAATTAAAGATATTGTGGACACCTCGTACACGAGTTGGTTCTCGTGCCATGAGTGCACCGAAGGACATTGCGTGGCGTACCGTGGGCGCCGAAGTAGGTGGAGTTGTAAAAAATGGGGGGAAGAGTCAATACTTCTCGGACTGAATTAGAAAAAGTCGAAAACAATTCCTCGTATAATATGTGACTCATTTGACCGATGTTTTCGCACTCCCCAACCAACCGCTCTGGACCGGGCCGCGAAGACCTCAAACGCGCCCGTGAGTGATGATGCCCGCTCCAATGCAAATGGTGGAGGGGGAAGAAAGAAGGACAAAGAAGCAAGTCTCTTGTGTCCAAGATGTCCGATGAGGTGAAAGTTGAAACGATCCCTCAATGATGGTTGTTTTCTTGCCGCGCAGGGATGCGGGACCTCGGCGTCTTCCTCCTCGCGCTGTTCCCCGCCGCCATGATGCTGGACTTTCGTTACCACAGCAACCGCGAGATGGAGAGTTACCTCCTGCGGGTCAACGCCTCCAACCCGGACATTGCGCACCTGTACAGCATCGGGCGCTCCGTCGCAGGTACGCGCGCGCACGGGGGCTCGCCGGGTCAGGTCTCGCTCCCTCGCCCGTGACTTTGTGGTTTGCGCCATCGTGCAACTCAAATGAACTTAATCCTAATCCTGTTTGTGTGCGTGCGTGCGGCAGGTCAACGGCTGTGGGTCTTGGCTTTGGGTCTGAGCCCCCATCGTCACGCGCTTGGCGTCCCCGAGTTCAAGTACGTGGCCAACATGCACGGAAACGAGGTGAGGCAACAGGCGCCTTCCCTCCCTGTAGACGGGTCCAAAAGGGGTGGGGGTGGGGGCAGGCAATCGATCGACAAAAACCAACGCACGCGATGTCGGGTGAAGGTCCAGAGTGTGTGAGCGTTGTCTGGTAACCATGGTGATGACGCGCAACCTAGTGGCTTTAAATTGATAAGTCGCGGTTGGGCGCACACGCACAGGCCGAGTAAATAAATCGGCTCAGTGGAAACTTCCAGAAAAAAAAAAAAGCCTTTTCACTCCCCGCGCGCAACAGCAGGAATGTGAGGCCATGTGCAAAAGTCCAAAGTGTGATCATGTGACAGGCCAACCGTGGCGGAACTGCTCAGTGTTAAGTGAGTGGTTGCCATGGCCGCCTCGCGGCATACGTGACCAAGACGGTGGTCAAAGTTGTGGTGTGCGTGCGCGTGTGTGTGTGTGTGCGTGTGTGAGAAAAAGTGTCACAGAACCATGGTTGGTTGCCGCCGCTGAACTTGATGCCCTTCCGCGGCGACAAGATGGCCAGCGGTTCTCAAATGATTTCACTTGATGGCCGCCAGGAAGCTCAAGCGTTGAATGGTCACCAAGTTCCTGTTATGTCAAGACTCTCGGCAAGCTGCGCCTTGTTTTGTCTGCGCACTCTTGAGCGACGTCGCAATCATGGCAACATCCTGTGTTGCTCACAGTACACTCGAGTGCGGGTCAGAGAGGTTGTTTTTGTGTCTGAGGGGACGTCGGTGTCAGTGCGTGCGCTGCGCGTGCGAGCGGCTGCTTTTGCCTCCTGGTGATTGGCTGGGAGACAAAGGGGGCGGGGCCAGCCGACAGCTCAGTTAAGACGAACGGATGTCGAAAATTGCACGGGGGTGGAACACGCACGCACAACCTGTGAGGCGTCACCGGGGCGACGGGCCCGTTTGGCACCAGGGCGGGCGGGCGTTCCCGTCCCGACGTGTGTTGACGCGTTTGCAGCGTTCCCGCCCTCCACGTCTTCCTTCTGCCTTTAATTACGTCGCCATCCATTCATCTGCTCTCATCCAGGCTGACTCACAACATCGCGACCTGTCACGCACTCTGCGTTGCGCAACCGCACATCACAACAGCCATCCGCATAGACTGGTCACCATCCTAAAATGACGACTGGTCGCAGACAACCTCGGTGCACATTTTGACAAACGGGCCTTCACGCCAACTGCCATTCCCGGTCTTCTGCTAGTCACAAATTGAATCTGTGTGTGTGTGTGTGTGTGTGTGAGAAGGTTCTGGGCCGCGAGCTGCTTCTGCAGCTCATTGACGACCTGGTGCAAGGTTACCGTGGCAATGAGAGCTGGGCCACGCGGATCCTGAACAGCACGCGTGTCCACTTCCTGCCCACCATGAACCCTGACGGCTTCGACCAGGCTGACACCAACTGCTACCTCAGCCAAGGAAGGTCCACATATATGCCCACACACACACACACACACACACACGGACCCCAGAACGTTGAAGTGTCCTCTCACTGTTTCAGCTGCCCGCTTTGTCACACACATGATATATTGCGTCATAATTGGGGATGTCACAACCTGGCCCGCAGAAATTTGTTGCACCACACGCGCCGCAGACACCAAACTAGATCAACAGGAGACACGCCGCAACCGCTGTGTCTCATTGTCCCGTTGTGTACGCGCTGCGACATTTCTGCTTGCGCTCACGTGACTGTGCGCGTGTGTCAGGTTCAACCGTAACGGCGTGGACCTGAACAGGAACTTCCCCGATGCCTTCGCCGGCCCGTGGGGGCAGCGTGACCTCGAGGATGCCGGCAGAGAGGCCGAGGTCAGCCACGGCCGCCGCTTTGCGTGTGAGATTGAAGGGGATTCGGCACACACGTGTGTGTGCGTGTGTGTGTGTGTGTGTGTGTGTGTGTGTGTGTGTGTGTGTGTGTGTGACTGTGCTTCGTGTGTGTGTGTTTTTTCCATGTGGTCATTTTGTGCGCGGGGCCGCGCATGTCGCGGCAGGTCCGGGCCGTGATGGGCTGGTTGAAGACGGAGACGTTCGTCCTGTCGGCCAACCTGCACGGCGGCGCCCTGGTGGCCAGCTACGCTTACGACAACAGCAACGGCGGTGAGCGGCGCCGGCGGCGCGCGCGCGTTAACGCGCCCGCGGCTAACCCGTCCGAGGTGTGTTTAGGCGGCGAGCTGGTGGGGCGGGCCAGCTTGACGCCCGACGACGACGTCTTTGTGCACTTGGCCAAGGTGTACTCGCACAACCACGCCAGCATGCGCCAGGGGGGGCGCTGTGGAGACCAGGCACCCTTCCGGGAAGGCATCACCAACGGCTACCAGTGGTACCCGCTCGCAGGTCGGTGTTGTCGGCGGCCGTGCGGCTCGGCTCGGGCGGGGTCGCTTCACCGCTTCCCGGACTCAGGCCCCCCCTCCCTTGAACGCGCGCAGGCGGCATGCAGGACTACAACTACGTGTGGGCCGGCTGCCTGGAAGTCACGCTGGAGGTGTCGTGCTGCAAGTTCCCCCCGGCCGGGCAACTTCCTGCCCTGTGGGCGGACAACAGGAAGAGCCTGCTGGCCTTCATCCGCCAAGCCCACTTGGGTAAACGCGCGTCCCACCGAGCTCTTGGGAGGCAGCGCCCTCAACTGACGTGTGTGTGTGTGCGCGCACGCAGGGGTCAAAGGGCGTGTGCTGGATTGCTCGGGAGCGGCGCTGCACAACGCCGTGGTCGAGGTGAGCGGTCGCCGCAACGTGCGTCCCTTCGCCACGGACAAACATGGAGAATACTACAGGTTGCTGCTGCCGGGCAACTACACCTTCACTGTTAAGTGCGCACGCACGCCAAGGCCGAGTTCACGGACGCCGCATGCGTTCACCCCGTCACACACGGATGCATGCGGGCGTCCTGCGGCTCAATGTGCATTTTTTTTTTTTTTTTTTTAATTTACACCCCCAGGTGACGCATCCCGGCTCCG